ATGTTGTGACAATTCCCTTTTTTATTTCTTTTTGGTCTTAAGTATACTTTCTAGTTGCCAAAGTTATGAGAAAGGGACTTGATAAATTCTCCTAAGCCAATTTCAGTATATTTTTGTTCCATTTGCAAAATATGCCCTTTCAGACTTCTCTAATTTTAGACTAGGTGGCTTCTATATTAACCATAGGAAATAAATATACACCTGTTATTGCCTTTAACGTTCTTTGGATAAAGTTACCAATATGAGATAGAGTTTAATAGTATGTCAAAACCTACTCTTAGGACTTATAAGTTAGGGTTTTTTTTTTTTTTGGCCTATAACATTTTATATTAAAGTCAATTCTCTCCTAATAAGTTGTTAGCAAGCCTCTGAGGCCACCTCAGTTTTGGTTTCTAAGCATACGTTTCATACATGTCACATGAGCTGGTTTTCAATTAAACCATCGTGAACATGTCCTCCAAATTGGGAGGAAAACTATCTAACATTGTATTTCTTTGGAATGGGATAATAACAATCAAATAGCCACACATGTCATTTTATTTATAGTGATTACAAGGTAATTAATCAGTTTCTCAGGTTCTAAAAGATTCAATGACCTTTTTCCTAACACTGTTAGGCGATCCCGTTCTCCGTGCTGCCTCTTTGACAGGCATTGCCATCCACGTGTCTTTTCTATTATAGTCCCCAGTCCTGGCTCCCCCTCCAAATTCTCCATTTTTTAAGTCCTCACACTGGTTCCCAAGACTGTGTGCTGTGTCCAGTATGTTGTTCTCTTTGTACAGAAACAGTATGACTTGTTTCAGCTTCTTATGCCAATGCTGATAGACAGGCTGTGTAGTTTCATTCTTCCTTTGGGATTTGATGCAAAAGATAGTCACCCAGGTAAGGGAAGGGTCTTGATATAGTTCAGGCTCATTTAAGAAAATTGGCAACACTTGCTGAATACCTTGAAGAATCATGTAAAAAAGAAACAGTTTAAATACTTACTTTTCACCATTCTGGCTTACTACAAAGGAAGCAGAAATCATGGGTTACTACATGAAACCTCCATTTTCTTTTGCTAGGCTTCTGATTTGACAGCTAAGGTCATAGATGTTCTAAGCAGCCAAATTTGTTAAAATTTTAACAATCTGACCTCTCTAACAGAAAAGCTGATCTGTTACAGATTGAAAGAAAATACAGTTTGAAATCCATGTGAATTACTTTTTTATCAAACTGTTTACTCATTATATGTTTAAAGGTCACTAGTACACATCGGCATTTCGACTATCTGGGAATATATTCACTGCTGACTTAAATGAGGCTGCTCTGGTTTTCATTATTGGCTGGTATTTTTAAGTCTGAGCTCTGACCTTCTAACTTAGAAGTAGAACAAAATAACTTGGTTTCAACATTCTAAAACATGGCAAAGACATTTCTTAGTCCCAATATGACATAGGAACCGGATGTGATGTTACCTCCTTCAGTAACCAACATTATTCTAAATAAGAGACTCGTATTTTTTTCACATTGGGCTAAAGATGAAGCCACCTTTGCAAAATTATAACTGAGGAAATTATGACAGTGAAAGAAATCAGACTTAACTGCCTCCCTCTTGCTTCTAACCTTTAAGCTGTCCTTGTTCATTCCTGGGCGTGGGCTGAACTAACTTTGGGAAGGAATTCAAATCATAGGTTGACTTTGAAACAAAATTGATAATAGTCCTTTCCTGAAAAGGCCCCCATCTTGCCTGGGGACCAGTCTATCTTTGCAGAACTAACAGATTAGCTACAAGATTAGAAATTACAGTTTAGGGGTCATGAAGCCTCTGGCTGCAAGAGTCTGAATCTCCCCAAATTGCTCTTGGGGATAACATCAGTATTGTAAAACCTAAGGTCAGTGCGTGACATATTTTATAGACCCTTCACTCCATGGATCAGCTGATACCATCCAGACCAGTGATCTGGCCCAACCAGTTCTGCCATCCCACGCAGGAATAGAAAACAGCAAGAAAAAGTCACTTTGATCCCCTACGATTCCATCTCCAACCTGACCAATCAGTACTCCTCACTTCCCAAGCCCCTATCCACAAAATTATCTTTAACCATAGGATGCTGATTTGAGTAATAGTAAAACTCCAGTCTCCTGCACAGCAGACTCTGCATGAATTACTCTTTCTCCATTGCAATTCGCCTGTCTTGATAAATCAGGTCTGTCTAGGCAGTAGGCTTGGTGAACACATTGAGAGGTTACATTGATAGGTGAAAGTTTCAGTTTAAACATTGCCAAGTGTCTGGTTAAGCAGGATAATATTGTCTGTTTCAATAACTTGTTTTTATTCTCTCTTTAGAAACAGTTCTTTGGATAGAAGAATAAAGTTATCAATAGTTTCAGCAACATGGTGGGATTACATGTGATTTCCATTTTTTGATCAGGCTTTTCCATATTTTAAAACTTGTCACCATAAAAATGTGGGGGTTTTTGTAATTAAAAGGAAGTCTACCAGTATTACAATTATAATCAACATTGTTGTTAGGCTTTTTTTTTTTTTTTTTTTTTTTCCAAATGAGTGCTTTATTATCAGTCATTCTGGGCAAGGGTTTTGAGGAGGAAATTTGCCAAGACTCTAGAGGTTCTCACACTTTAATATGCAGAGAAACCACCTGGGATGTCATTAAAATGCAGTTTCTGATTTAGTAAGTTTGGGGTGGGGCCTGAAATCCTAAATTAGCCTTATAAACTCCTTGGAAATGCTACTGCTGCTGGTCAGATAACCACACTTTGAATAATACCACTCTGACCAGTGGTTCCAAATTTTAGCTGGCAACAAAATCACCTGGAGGGCTTGTTGAAATGCAGTTAGCAACTCTCCCACCTGCCCCACCTCATGTCTGATTGAGTATGTCTGAGGTTGGGCCTGATTATTTGTGTTTATAAACAAACTTCCATGTGACATTGATGCTGCTTCAGGAACCTCAATTTGTGGCCACTGATCTAGAGCCCTGTTCATCAAAGCTTTGTTTCCAGACCACATCAGCATCAGTTGGGAGCTTGTTAGAACTGCAGAATCTTAGACCCCACTCAGACCTAGGAGAGTAGAATTTGAGAAGCGCTACTTATTCTCGTTGTGCCTCAGAAACAACAACTCAGCTTTAGCTTATTAGAATCAACTGTGGAGAATTTAAAAATCCTGATGCCTAGACTGAACCTCAGAACATCTCCATTAGAATCTCTGGGGCTAGGGCCAAGCCATCATTAGTTTCTAAAGCTCCCCAAGGGATTCTAGTGTACAGTCTTAGCTCTGCAGTCCATGGATAGCTTAAGTGTTAACTTAGTGGACCCCCTTGGTACCCGGGTCCTTGTCCAGTGTCCAGGAAGAATCAGGTCACACACAGGTTTGAAGGATGAATGCAGAGGTTTTATTGAGTGGTGGAGGTGGCTCTCAGTGGGATGGATGAGGAGCTAGAAGGGGAGTAGAGTGGGAAGATGGATCTTTCCCTGGAGTTTTGTTGTCCAGTGGCCAATGTCCTCTCTGATTGTCCCCAGCCAAACCTCCTCTCGGTGTTCATGTTCCCTCTCTTCTCTCCTTCTCTGCTGTGCTGTTCTGTCATTCATCTGCTCATCTGCCTGTGGAAACTGGGGTTCAGGGTTTATACGGGTCCAAGACCAAGGGTGTGGCAGTCAAGAAGGCAACTTTTTGGGTGTGAAAACAAGAATGCCTGTTCTCATTAAGAACTGTGGGTTTCCAAGCTGGAGAGTGGGGCCTTTGCTGGGAAACTGCCTTCTTCTCAGTATTTCCCTCTCTCCTGTCCATATCAGTAGGAACCACAATTTTTTATTTATAGAAACAAATATACTACCACCCTTCTGATTCGAGTTCATATTAAAAAGCTTATGTATAATGTTTTAAACATTTCATCCTGAATGGCAAAGTCCTTTGGAAACCAGTTTAGTAACTTGGAAAGTAAAGCATTTAACTTAAAGTTTTCATATGTTCTAATGCACTGTTTATCTCCAGGTAAATCTCTATGAATAACCCATACAAATGCTTAGAAAACTAAGCACATTAGATATTGTATGCACCATATTTTGTTTCTTAGGCTAACATTAAACATATATCAAATTCTGTGGCCACCAGAATACAAAGTCATATCTCCTGTAGCAGGGTAGTATAGAAATCCTATGTTAGCACTAAAATATTACATAGTAAAATGCAGACCTGCTCCTTGTCAATTTAATTGCATTGTTTGCGTCTCTCAAGATACTTTAGGGACACCAACTGTGTGAAGTTAACTGGACACAATTATCTAAAGTAATTTACTCATTTTTGTTATAGAAGTATATTGGATATAACAAGCAATGTATATATGCTGTTTCACAAATCTGGATTTTGCCATTATTTTGTGTACTGGTGTTACAACAGGTGGAATGTGAATTGCTATAAATTTTACTAAAGAAAGTACATAAGTGAGGCAACCCCTCATACTTGAAGGTGTTGCTAATGCTTTTCTAGATATTAATTTTCTATTATATTGTGGTGGTTAAGACATCCTTGCTAGTAAGGGGGAAGGTCAGCAATATTTATATGTAGTTTCTTTTTTTTTAATTTATTTTATTGCATTTTAGGTTTTGGGGTACATGTGAAGAACATGCAAGATTGTTGCATAGGTACACACGTGGCAGTGTGATTTGCTGCCTTCCTCCCCATCACCTATATCTGGCATTTCTCCCCATGTTATCTCTCCCCAACTCTCCACCCCCCGCTGTCCCTCCCCTATTTCTCCCCCACAGACCCCAGTGTGTAGTGCTCCGCTCCCTGTGTTCATGTGTTCTCATTGTTCAACACCCACCTATGAGTGAGAACATGTGGTGTTTGATTTTCTGCTCTTGTGTCAGTTTGCTGACAATGATGGTTTCCAGGTTCATCCATGTCCCATGTTCATCCATGAGTTCGTGACAAAGGACACGAGCTCATCGTTTTTGATGGCTGCATAACATTCCATGGTGTATATGTGCCACATTTTCCCTGTCCAGTCTATCATCGATGGGCATTTGGGTTGGTTCCAGGTCTTTGCTATTGTAAACAGTGCTGCAATGAACATTTGTGTGCGCGTGTCCTTATAGTAGAACAATTCATAATCCTTTGGATATATACCCAGTAATGGGATTGCTGGGTCAAATGGAATTTCTATTTCTAGGTCCTTGAGGAATCGCCACACTGTCTTCCACAATGGTTGAACTAATTTACACTCCCGCCAACAGTGTAAAAGTGTTCCTGTTTCTCCACATCCTCTCCAGCATCTGTTGTCTCTAGATTTTTTAATGATCGCCATTCGAACTGGTGTGAGATGGTATCTCAATGTAGTTTTGATTTGCATTTCTCTGATGACCAGGGATGATGAGCATTTTTTCATATGTTTGTTGGCCTCATGTATGTCTTCTTTTGTAAAGTATCTGTTCATATCCTTTGCCCACTTTTGAATGGGCTTGTTTGTTTTTTTCTTGTAAATCTGTTTGAGTTCTTTGTAAATTCTGAATATCAGCCCTTTGTCAGATGGGTAAACTGCAAAAATTTTTTCCCATTCTGTTGGTTGCCAATTCACTCTAATGACTGTTTCTTGTGCCGTGCAGAAGCAGTGGAGTTTGATTAGGTCCCATTTGTCTATTTTGGCTTTTGTTGCCAATGCTTTTGGTGTTTTGGTCATGAAGTCCTTGCAGACCTAACACCATAAAAACCCTAGAAGAAAGTCTAGGCAAAACCATTCAGGACATAGGTGTAGGCATAGGTATATGTAGTTCTTAATGGTTGTATTCTAGTTCTGGTTAGTCTTGCCTTACTATAGATGGCTTCTTTATGAGCACAAGGATGGTAGAGTTTCAATGTAACACTTCAGGGGCAAATTAATGCCTACAGGATTTGCATATTTCTTACTGAAACAATTTTCAATCTTTTAGCAGTCCAGTTTCTAACAACTTATAAGTCATGTGACATCCTTACATTTATATGAATATAAATGTTTAGTGTCCTTCCTTCAGAGTTGGATAAACTGGACTTTAATTTCAAGCTCTGTCACTTTCTCACTGTTAACTTTAGGCAAATTATGTTTCATGTATAGACGAACCTCAGCTTTTTTTCATTGCAAAACCAAATACTTTGGGGTTTATTGTGAGAATTACATGTGTAAATGAGCATAGAGCATTTAAAACATGGTGCTTATGCAACATAGCTTATTTGCTATGCACATATAGGCATAAATACATATAGACATGCGTGTGTATCAAATAGGCATGGAAATAACTCTATATGCATGTAAAACTTAAGGCTTTTGCATAGTCCTTACACAAATTGTCACATTTCACTGGGTATCTTCAGAAACCTTTATAGCCACAGTGTCGCCGGAGATGATGTGCACTGCTGAAAACAAGGAGAATACATTCTTTTATGACCAGAAAATAAGAAAATAATTCCTATTGTCTGTGGGTGGACATGACAATATTTTGTAGGACAGGGACTTTTTCAGAGTTTGGTTTCAGCAAGCTGGTTTCGTAGATTCTTATATAGAAATGTCCAGTGATCAAATGAGCTGTCTACATAGAACTATAGAATGAGAACTGGAGGAGTAGTTAGTATCACCTTGCCAACCCCTTTATTTACACAGTGGCAGACAGAAACCCCGAGAACTAGAAAAATGACATTTGAGGTTTCACACACTAAAAGTGAGCACAGAATTATTTGCTGTTTCATGTTGATGATTCTGGAAAACTCAGGCTTGCATGATCTTAGCTCAAAATCATTTTGAACACAATGCCAACCATCCAGTTTGGGGACAAATGGAACAAGCTTCTCAAGATGAAGTATCTAAATATTCACTTGGAAGCTGGGAAATAGCAGTAAAATAATCACTTTGTTTCACATATTATATATGATGGTAGATTAATTAGTGTGAACTTTGTGTGGGTAGGAACAGTATGTAATTCAGCTCTGAACCTTAGTAGGAGGCATCTAATAAATTTATATTGTGAAGCATCTAAATACCATAGGTTTCCAATTAATATGCAGAGCAATTAGTACGTGCTGGATAAATGTTGAATTAAATTTGGAGGTTGTAGGCATACCAGACCCCTGAACACTATGATAATAATTTTTGTGTCATCCATGTTGTCAAATTCTCTAACATGAGAACAAAGAAGGGAAACAATGAATAGGGTAAGGAAGAAAAACTCATTCCTGTCTTATTCCTTTAAAGTACAAGTTAAATCCAAATGCAGAACATAGAAATAACATAAGCAAAGAAATCACATTTGGAACATAATTAAAGAAAAGTCCATTTGTAGTATGTTTGTGTTTAAGAGTTTTATTCTTGGCAAAACAAATTCTTGACTGAAAGATAAAAGACTTACTTTACAAATGGCTTCAAATGCAATGACTTTCTGCAGAGCAGTTACCGATAGCATTTTAATAGAATAATATAAATGAGTAGAAAATATATGAACCCGATTCTCCTGAATTCCAACATTATTGTAAATGAATGGAAAAGATACTTTTATGATTATTTTTAGATTTTTTTTTTTTAATCCAGAAAGTTTGTAGGTAGCTTGCTATATGAAGGATTAAAAATGTATCTCGGCCAGGTGTGGTGACTCACCCCTCTAATCCCAGCAGTTTGAAAGGCTGAGGTGGGAGGATTACTTGAGGCCAGGAACTCAAGACTGGCCTGGGAAACACAGTGAGACCCTGTCTCTAAAAGTAAAATAAAAAAAAGGAAGAAAAATGTAACTGAATTTACATATTCTTGGTCAAACATTTATTTATTGTTTCTACACACATTCACTGAGAGCCTAAAATGTGCCAGTTACAGCAAGCAATTGTTACTTAGAAACTGGATAACACTTCAAAGGGCTTTGAGCATCAGAAATTCAAATTTTAAAAACGTTCTCTTTTTGCATCTTTTTGTCCTTGGTACTTACCTGGATATAATTGCCTTTGATACGCCAAGGTGGAAGAGTGATAAATTAGCTCAAGTAGGCCACATCTTGCAATGATGTACTTTACCTTCCATCAGCTGTTAGGGTAACTCTGATATATTTGCTGCGTTTTCAGTTAGATACACTTTTTTTTTTCCGTATCTTGGTTGTAGTCTTAAGATCTTCATCCTAGATAGAATACATTTCATTCATTTCATACATTATATAGAATTACAGTAGATGTCTCTTAGGTTTTTTATTGGCTTTGTGTGATGCTTAGCTTGTCAAGTGGAATAGAAAACATAAACTCTAATAAGCCCTTGCAAAGATTTTAGTGCCAAACTAAACAATAGAAATTAAGGTTCCTATTACTTTGAGTCCTTCTAAGAATTTTAGGTACTTTTTATGTTTTCTAGGTGAGCTGAGAAATCTCAAGTGTTAGAAGATTTGAGATGTGGCTCGTTCAGAGAGAAAATTTTTAAAGTCTAGATTTATCATCCCAAAAGCTCCTAATATAAAAATACAGGCTTACGCTGTGATAGCAAAACTCTAAAATTATCAAGTTGACTTTTCCAAAAAAAATAGATGTGGGAATATTAATTGTCCTAAGAAGGTGAACAATCTTTTATAACATAAACAAGATAAGCTGTTAAGTACTCCTGATACATTGGTCTGCACCTTTATGAAGGAATACATAATCTTAAACAACGTTAGATTTTGGGGGGCTGGGGACATTAAACAAGAGGACATACATAAGCTCATTGTGGCTAAAATATGCTAAATGTTATATAAGCTTACGTAAGCTAAGTTTTCAGGTGAGATTTAGTAGATAGCTTGCATGGTGAGTAGAAGGTAAGACACCTGGATGGGGTGAGGCAGGGATAGGCCAGGAGCAAAGAATTTAAAAATTATTGGACTACAATTTAGAGTATTACATTTTACCTGGTAATGCATATATATATAGCTCGTACTTATCTGTATAGCTGAAACAGAAGTAATGATATTTATGCCATGTGGGATGCTGTCTGGTATTTTCAAGTCTGTTGTATAACATTAAATAAACATTATCTATTATAGGGATTTCACCAAAAGATCGTGGTCCTAAACTATAGATGGAAAGGCAGTGAACTTGAAGGAGGTAGTAGGGACAAGGCTGGACAAGTGTAGGGGGAAGGACAGTCATTCTAGGGCAAATAGGATTAGGCTTGTGAGGCAGTTTAAGGAGGTACTTATTTATCATCTTAGCATACCAATCCTTTACTTACATTATCTGCGAGTGAGTGCCTCCTTAAATTTTCCTCCTTTGCAACTCACTCTGTGCCCTAAGCTCAGCTCTGAAGACCAGAAGATCTTCCTTACGAAGGACACACACATTTCATTCTGGCGGAAGAATGACATCAGAACCAGGAAGGTAAATGAGTCCAGAAAGAAAAACAGAGCAAAGATTTTTAGGGCAAACAGCGGGTCGAAAAATCACCCAGTAAACCACAGTTTGCAGCAGAATATTCCAGGGGCAGATCCAAGTTAGAACAGTCCAAGCAAAGGGGAGAGCTACAAAAGCAAGAGGCTTAACCTAGAAAGGCTGGACTTTGCCAGTGCCAGTGATCTTCTGGCTGGATGAAACTCTTCTGTTCCAGGGGCGGTAGTTTGGTTAGAGATTACATTTTGTTGTATGTAGCCCAAAACTCTAATAACAGTGGCTTCAACAAATAGGAGCTTATTTTTGTCAAGTAGCATCTAGTCAAGGGGTGGACAGTCCAAGGCTGGTACCGCTGCTTTAGGGACCCCACCAAGAACTCAGGCTTCTTGTTCCATCATCCTTAGCGTGGACTTTCGTCATCATAGATGCAACTTGGGCATGCCACCCCTAGCCTCACGCATTCCAGTAGTAGAAAGGGGAATAATAAGGGGAGGAAGAAAAGGAGAAAGTCCAAGAAGGAGACAGAATATAATACTTGCCTAGAAACCCTCAGCTGAATTCATCTTGGGTCTTATTGGTCAGAATTATGTCATATGGACATTCCTAGCTGCAAATAAGAATGAGGGATGTTGTTTTTTAAACTAGGTACATTGCTGTCTCCCTCCCCTCAGTAATTACTGGA